ACTAATAATTACACTTATAAAGATTTGGTTCAAGTCGTGTCGACTCAACTCAACCCAACTATATTAAAAATGTGACTATATATTAAATTATTTATATTTAAAATTTTATTTTTCTTTAAGTTTTAAATAAAAATGTAAGTAATTAATTAAACTCGTGAGTCAAGTTTATCAATCAAGCATGAATTGGGTTTGAACTTGCTAGTTGAGCTCAATATATTTATATTTGTTAATGATTCATACTCCACTCGATTTATTATTGTAACATCGAGTTTGAACTAAATTTTTAAAAAACTTCACCCAACCCATTTATACCTCCTATTTTAAAGGGGTTTTCTATAATGTGGCTTTGTGAACATGATAAGTGACAATTAATTACCTTAAAAATATTAAAGCATTAATTTTATCAAAGTACTAATAATAATTTTCGTAAAAAAATGACCAATACGATCTCTATTTATTTTAGAAAGGGTGAAGACATTACAAAGAACATTTTACCTCTTAAAACAGAAAATCTAACAAACTATCACTATCATTTTTTATGACTGATAATACTTTTGAAATACAAAAAGTTAAATATTCTTTTTAGTCTCTCTACTATTGAAAAAAGCCCATTTTTAGTCATTGTGCTGAAAATATCCCTTTTTTTGTCCTTAAAATTTGAAATCTGATCCATTTTTAATCTCTCCATTAATTTTTACTTGTGTGACGCGTTATCTTAAGAAAAACATCTGACATGGATATTCTATCGTGTAAAGCCACTTACGTGGATTTGATAACATCCCTCCATGTCACTCTCTCCATGTGAAAACAAAACCTTAATTGATGAGACTCACATTCTAAAATTCTCCATTTTTTTTAGTTCCCTCTCCGAATACCATCTTCCTTCTTTCAAAATTCTTGTTTTTTCATTCATAATCAACCCTTTACATGTGAAATTGATCAAGATATAAGTGAGAATTCATAAGAATATTTTCATTGCTAAAAATAAAAATTAATTACTAATTATAGTGATTTATCAATATTGTAAACCCTAACTTCTCCTCTACAAAATAGATTCTTCTCTTTATTGTTTCTCGAATTTTAGATTTTCAACCCTTTCTTCCTATTGAACCTAGGTCATGGACTCATGGATGAATCAAATTATGAAGTTCATAGCAACATAAACACAACAACATAAACCTATCACTTGCAGTTTTAAACCCAAATATTGAACACGATTTGGGTTTCTAAGAAACCCAGAACTTAAAGTCTCTAATTCAAAACTAAACATGAAACTTTGGTTTCATTCGACTTCTTTATGGAAGATAGATACATTCAAAATAAAAAAAATGAAAAAAAAAAAAAGGGGTGGAACCCTAAACCTAGGTTCGTGGAAACCGTAAGGAACCTAGGATGATGAAGAGGATGGTGAAGAGGATGCCAAGGATGAAGATGAGGAGCATAAGGATGAGGAGAAAGAAGAAGATGAATAAATTAAAGTTAATTTTGTTTAAATCCATTTAATTTATGAATTAAAAAGTAAAACTTTTAATTTGTACTGGTGGCAAAAAATATTCTTACATGGATTTATAATTTTATCCACGTATTTTTCACATCATTTATAATTTCATTTATATAAAAAATAATCAAGATTCCATTAATTAATGTAACATATCAGTAAAAATTTAATAAAGAAACCAAAAAAAAGTCAAAATTTAAAATTTAAGGATCAAAAAATGAATTTTTTCAATATAATGACAAAAAAAAGCTTTTTTTTAATAATAGAGGAACTAAAACAGGTATTTAACCAATTAAGAATAACCTAAATAATAAAAAATAAAAAAAATAGCTAAATACTATCAATATCTAACTATTATTCTGCCTTTCAAGTAAAAAAATAGCCAAGTCCTATACATATCTAATTACACACCCAATACCAATAATAGCTTTAATGGCAGCGATCACCCAAGATGGGAAAACATAACTATATTCGCCTCCATCAAACACCACAGTAACAAACAAGCCCTCAAACACAGCTCCTCCCTCACCGTTCCACCACCTACCAGCACCACCACACCACCAGCAACCAAGAGCCGATGGTCAGACCCCAATTTGCTGCAGATCTACCTTGACCAAACACACCACCTACCAGCACCACCACACCACCAGCAACCAAGAGCCGATGGTCACACCCCAATTTGCTGCAGATCTACCTTGACCAAACACAATCACAACAACCCCCAACCACCATCATGCCATCATGATTCTGTCCTGCGCCGCATCAATAGAAAAACTCAGTATTGCCGCCGGCCATGGAGTCCAATACTCCACACACTAGTATAACGTCGGTAGCCCGCTTAGCCCACAAACAACCTAAAAATCACTCCATCGGAGAGACAAAGCCACAAAACCTTGCCCCGCCCTTACCTTCAAGCCGCTTACCCTCTTGCCCTTCACTGACGCCAATCAGGGAGGAAGAGGATGATAGAATATTTAAAACCACCACGCGATCGTATGGGCAACTATTCTCCCACTGCTCTAGGAAACCTTGCTGCCGGAGAGTTTCTAGTACGAACATAACTTGATACCTGGAAGTATTGATAAAATGGAGAATATTTTTTACATTTTAAAATAGGTTAAGGGATTTAATTAATATATATTTTTTATTAATTAGTATTAAAAATGATAAAATTTAATATTAATTTTATTATTTATATCACATGAACTATTTTTTATAAATTAATTAATTAAATAAAAATTAATTTTTAATTTTTAATAATAATTAATATTGAAAACATATTTTTAAAATATAAATTAGAAAAAAATTTTAAAATAGTTAATTGTCAAAAATTATTATAATTAAATAATAATAAAATTAATGAACATTCAATTTAACATATTTTTTAATATTATTTTAATTTAATTTATTTTTTGAACAAATTTGTAAGAGACTGAATTCAAACAGTTATCATGAAAAAAAAATGTAATTATATGTGATCTGAAATCATTGGATCGAAAAGCCCAAGTACATTTAATTATTAAATATAATATAAAGATAATTAATTGAATTGATTCTGATACATATGTTTATATTTTTAAATTTAATTTTTTTAATTTTAAATAAAAATAATAATTTTTAAATAAATATATTATATAATATATTAAATTAAATATATACTAAATAATTCTCAAATAATAAATACTAGCAAAAAAAAGGGCAAATCAACCCTCATGGTTTTTGGACCTCTGTCGAAACATATCATCGGGTTCAGATTACTTGCTTCGAAGTCTCTGACCTCAGACGAAAGTGTTTTGACCAAAATTTAAGTCTCCGGCGACCCTTCTTTTTTTGGCCGAAACGTTTCCCACAACTTTTGAGTCATGTTGTTTCGGTCGACATTCAATCGACTCGAACGTGCGGTTGCAATTACTTGCAAAGGTCGGCTCGTGTAAAGTGAGGGGTAATAAAGCTCTCCATAAAGCCAAAAAAGAAAAGATTTTCATGGCAATTACTTGGAATGAAGTGGCTTCTTTTCCAGTTCATTTCGTATGAATCATAGATTTTTTTTTTTAATTATTGACAAAAATTATCATAATATTAAGGAAATACTTTTTCATTGATAATTACATGATTTATAATTTTTTTAAAATTATTTTAAAAATTAATTTTTTAAATCACTTATTTTTTAAACTTTACCGTACATTCCCTTAGTGCAATAATTAATTTTCAAAGTCATCCACGCGCCTTTTAACAGGGAAAAGGCACCGCCAGTTCAACAGAACTTGGTATTTGTTTAGATTATCGGTCATCAAGTAAGTTTCCTAGAAATTGTGGTCATCTCCCACTCTCCCTCAATATAAAGAATGATGTCTTAGACTATGTAGCCTATTGGTCATGCCTTTAGTGAGGATATGTTCGAACGTGAAAGCTTTGAAATTTATTCTCGAGCACTATTCTTATTTTCAATAATTTTCTTAAGTGAAAAAAAAAAAAAAAAAAAAAAAAAAAGAGGAAGAAAGTAGAAAGGGTAAATTTGTAATTACACTTTTAAAATGTTTTGGTTGTCATTGGTTACATGGAGTGTGCACACCCGGGTGTTGAATCCGGTGTGCACACATCATTTTCTTTTAATATTTTATTGATTTATTTCAAATTATAAAATAAAAATTATTTTTTTAATCAAAAATTTTACATTTTAAAAAAATATATTATAATTATTATTTAATTATTACCTTTTATATATACTCTTAGAGTACAAATAAACAAACCCTTAAAGTTTTTGGATGAGAGATGGAAGTTCAATAACGAAGATTCTTTTTCAATTCAATGGCAATTGTTTTAGAATATGATATAATTTAAATTATAAAATAATTTTTTAATTAATTATATTGCT